TACTCAAGTCGGTAAAAATCAGAAAATCGGGCAACTTGAATGAAATTTTCAGCACTTTTGGGCTGAAGTGTCTTTTACAGAGTGTAAAAGTTTGAAAATGCTGTCTGCTACGGATTGGAGGTTAGTAATGTTTTTATGCCGCGGGTCCTGTTGAGTGAAAACCATTGTTAGCTCAATATTTACCAAGGCAGTAAAAATTAAGATAGGCAGCGATTCGCTTAAAGTTTTAAGCCCTTTGGGACTCTAAAAGTATTCTATAGACTCTGAATATTTCAAACCGCTAACAACTGCGAATGTAGTAATTGTCCAAGCAGCGGGAGCAGTCGCGTAAAAATTTTCATGTTTAGCTCAGCATTTCCCAAGTCGGTAAAAATCACAAAATCGGGCGATTTCAAGAATATTTCCAGCACGTTTCGATTCAAGCGTCTTCTACAGGGTGTGAAAGTTTCAAGTTGCTGCCCCATCTAGACTGGAAACTGCGAATTTTTAAAGCAAATGGTGATGTTGAGAGAAAACTTTCATTTCTAGCTCATCATTTACCAATGCGGTAGCAATCCGGAAATCGGACGATTTTAACAAGATTTGGATCTTGCTGGGATACAATATTTCCTCCGAATGGCCATCTAATACAACTGAGCTGATTATTGTCTACAACATCCGGAAATCGTCTTCACTTTGCAATTCCAGCCCGTGTGTTCTTTCCGGAACATCCCAGTTTCGCCAGCATTTGGCTATTCTCTTCACTCTTCGCACCTCCTCTTTGACTTCCTTGAAACTTGAAAAAACTTCCGTTCTCTCCGGAATACCGAGTGTCTCAACTGCACAACTGCAGACCATTTTCAATAAAACTTTTCCAAACGCCAATGAAGTTTTTGTCTTCAGATGCATAGACCCGCTGGGAATCTGCCCCACATCGGACCCATGCTGGGTGAACCAACTGTCCAGCAATGGCAGTTGCCTCGTAGATAGCAACAGCACTCTTAGGTGCGAAAACTGGGAGTTCAAGGGTAAAGGTAAGTGATCAAAATCATGAGCGCTGGCAATCTATTGCACTTCAAAGGCGTCTTAACAATGCTGTTTTGTTGGAAGCGCCCAGACAAAAGCACTGCAAAGGTAATAATGTGGCTTAAGCGAATTTTTATTGCCCAATTTAATTGGGCGCAAACAACACCGGTGACGCACTTTGATGCACGTTGATTCCGGTTTGAGGCACAAAATACCTGGCTAAAATGCCCGTTCCATTCCAGGTTTGACCATTACCTCAGAGTTCAACTTAATCTGTGATAGGAAAACCTTGATCAACCTGGCCGAGATGATGTTTCTGGCCGGGGTGGCAGTGGGCGGCCTCGTCAGCGGGATCATCTCCGATAAATACGGCAGGAAAAGAACCCTGCTGGCCTCCATTTTGGTGCAGTGCACTCTAGGTACCCACGCAGCCCCCAACCCACCACAACCCCATTAATTTCTCCCATTCATCCACAGGCACACTCATCGCCTTCGCCCCTTGGTACGAGCTCTACGTGGTTCTCAGATGCATGCTGGGCTTCTTTTCCGTCTCTGTGGTCTTCAGCGGCTTCGTGCTGGCCATCGAACTCGTCGGCGGCCACTGGAGGACCATCACAGGCATTTCGTATTTGTTTCCGGTGGCTCTTGGCTACTGCACCATCTCAGGCATGGCCTACATGCTGGACAATTGGCGGTACCTGCAGTTGGCCGTGTCTTTGCCAGGAACTTTGTTTCTGCTCGCCTGGTAAGTAATGGACGTTTTTCGGTAGCTCGGGGGTTTAATGCCCGGTTTCTGGTAGATTCCCCTTATTGGTTCTATAACTTATGGTAGGTTTCTCAACGCGTCTTTTCGTCAAAACTAGTGGTCCATAGCTATCGAGTCGATAAAGTAGGTAAAGCTTGATAATCTGTGGGAACAGCCATATAACGCAGAAGAAGAGACGGGTTAGAGTGACTTGCTTTGCCTGGTGTTATCAGTCTGTGGTGTTATCCATTTGCTTAAATGCAAAACATTTTTCATTATGCACTACATAGATGGATATGAAATATATTACAGCTCCTCCTTCCCTCAACCAGTGAGAGTCCTAGTGAGACACTTTTTTTGATGCCTGCCTTTCCTGGATTTTTGTCCAAAATAGCGCATATGAACGTACAAGTAAACATTCCGAACGTACAAATAAAGTGACCCAACAAAAGATCAGCCGAGGTGTCAATTTCGGTTACGACGGGAAGTAGAGTACACTCACCCATCACAATCCACGACCACATAATCAACAAGTATAAACATCAGCTAAACAAAACCTCCAACACCAACAGGGAGGAACTACTGAAAAAAATGCGAAAGCAATTTGCGGATGATTCAACATTGACACCTCGGTGGTCTTTTTTGGCACCCACATGTATATTTT